ACGGAGTCCTACGCACTTCCCGCACCGCCTGCTTAGCAGCTCGGCAGGAGACACCTGTGCGCTTTCTCCAGCGCCCTCGGGGAGTCCCAGATACTCGGAATGTTTCATTTTATTTTACATTGAGGATGAGATTTGGGGGAGACAGAAGATTGTCAGTAGATTGAATACTTAGGCTAGGAATAGGGCCATGGGTCTCCAAGAAATAGTGTTAGGCTACTCACTTCAAAGTGACAATAAAACCGACATATAAACATAGAAGGTATTGTGACTGTTAAGAAGCTGAACTCTTTTTTTAAATTGATTTGTGAGAGAGAGAAACATTGATTTGTTGTTCCACTTATTTATGCATTCATTGGTTGATTCTTGTATGTGCCCTGACCAGGGATTGAACCTGCAATCTTGGCGTATGGGGACGACACTCGAACCAACTGAGCTCCCAGGCCAGGGCAGAGCCTGAACTCTCACACAAGTCATCAGGGACTTAAAAAGTTAGCACGTAAGGTTATCCTGATAATTCACAGAACCTTTGCAATCCAGGCAGAGTAGACAAAAAGAATAGCCCTTCACATTGTAGTTGAAGGCAGGAGACAGTAAAGTAGTAAACAAGCCCATCAGAATCGAGCCAATTTTGCTAAAATTTTTACATAATTCATAGCTTTTCACACTTTTAACTTCCTATAATCTAAGACAAAAAGTTTCCTTTTTGCAACTTTCTATATCCATTCAGGTCTTGTCCTGAGTGTTCCTCTTTCTGGAGCAGTCACTTCACGGCCTTACTGACTATTTCTCCCTTGTAAACAAAACACATTCCATGACCTCACATGCAGAGTTATACACCATTGCTCTGCTGCTCCAGATAGTTGCATTTATAGATTAGTTAGGAAATGCAGACTTATGAAACCCACAGGGCCATGCTGTAGAACTGATTTCTCAGTGAGTACAGATTCTTCATTTACTGGAGCTCAAGTAGACAGAAAAGATGAACAAACCCGATGTTCTGTTTTCTTCTCACCCAACAGAGAATGAATCTTTAAAACCATTAATCTATTGAAAGGAATCATCAAATGATCAGACTGTAAAACCAATTCCCAAGAGTAGGAGAGAGCAAAATTCAAGTTAGAAAAACAGAGATCAGTAAAGTTCTCCTGTGCTCACCTCCCAAAGCCAGAGAAGACGGGCCTGGGCTTAAACGGGGCCCCGCACTGGTGAGGGCGGCCTGGCGCTGGCCGGAGACTACGGGGCATCTCCACAGAACCGCCAACTCTGTTAACAAAGAATGTTCCCCGAGATAAAACCACGACTAACACAGAGAGAAATGAGCATGTGCTGAAGAATTTATTTACTCATGAAAAGGGGAGCCAGACAGATGCTAGTCTAGCCGGTTCAAAGGAGAAGTCAGCACTCAGATTTATATAGACTTAAAGAATGTTTAGATGAATCGCAAATGAAAACGCAGCTGCTTTTAAGGGCGTGGGGAGGGGAGAGTTGCCTGACAGCACAGAATCTGTAGGTCTATCAGTTAGAGTTATTCCTGTTACTCATAGTGGCTGTATCCTGCACGTCACCATGAACTCCATTAGCGCAGACCGAAACACTGCTCCTGCGAAAATACAGGCTTACGTGCCTGGGAGCCTCGGATCACAATATTTTGTCAAACAATCAATACATTGTTTTCACGTGTTTCTGTTTAAGAGCGTATTGTTGACTCAGACATTGAACTTGTGGCCAACAGCCTGTCACTCACGCCCAGTGAAGCATCTCCGACGCGGGCTCGTCTCAGCCGCCCGCACTTGGGCTGAGAAAGCACTCGGGGGGGCAGTTGAAACGGCGGCACAGAAATGAGAGGCCGTGCGAGGACACTTGTCGCCGTGTGAGGGTGACCCAGGCAGAGCATGACCTTGCCTGACCTCAGCTGGGGGTGTGTGTGGGGTGACAGGTGTGTCACTGCCCTGTACCTGCCGAACGGCCAGGGAAGCACGGTCAGTACTGGGCTTGCAGGGCAGTTCTGGTGAGAAGGGGACCCAGCACCCGCTCTGCGACCAGGGGAGACAACCGAGAGGCCGGGCACGCTGAGCTCAGCAGGCGTGAGGCCGTGCCTCATCCCATGACTCCCAGCACCGTCTGGCCAGGGAAACGTCCGGCTCGGCTGTCAGGCTCCAGGGAGAGGGGAGTCTGAGGCCCTCCGCTGGGAGCCTGAGTAACTGCCTCGGGGGACAGGGTCCCCACGTGCTAGGGAGTCCCGGGGTCTGGGTTACCAAGGTTCTGGGGACCCACGCACACACCGCCCCCAGACCAGGCTCTGAGAGGGAGTTTTGGACATCGTGTTGCTGTATAGTTTTTTCTCTAGAAAAGTGTGTTCAAATTTCTGTTGACTGAGTTTCAGCTGTACTTTTGGAGCACAAACCAGTTTGTTTTTGTGGCAAATCCCTGATTGGAAGTAAGAGGAACAATACTGTGTCGCAGCCATACTGGGGAAGAGTGAGCGTCAGGCAGGCCGTGCCTCACACCCGAGGCCCGCACTTCTTTTGAGGGTACAGCTGTGGCAGGTGGGGGAGGTTACTAACCTCATATTTCTGGTGCCGCCATTTTCACCTTATTGGCTTGTTTAAATCATTTCATATAATTTTCATGGAGAAAACAGTTTTGCCAGTGAATGCAGAACACACATTTCTCCTCCATTGTGTTTTCTAAGAAGATCTAAGATACTTTCCAATTATTCTGCACCTCACCCTCCACCACCCCAAATACTAGATACGTGGGGATTTTAGAGTGAAATTCCTGAAAAGCCGTTGTTCTCCAACTCCCCCCCTTAAATTACAGTTTAAGTTGATGCTGCTTCACCCGAGCATATGTGCGCACCCAGCCTGGCGAGGAGGCTTGAACCCTCCCAGGTGCCCACATAGCTCCCTTGGTTCCCGAGTCTTTGCTGTCCTGCCCCCCGGCCTGTCAGCAGCGATGCCAGGTCTGCCGCTTGTGCCAGACCAGGCAGTGCTGTGCTGGGTACACAGATGGGCGGTAGGAAAATCACTGAGCTGCTCACTTCCGAGCTGAAGTCGGGTTTGGGGTTCGGTTATTAGAGGAGAGAGACCTTTCGCAGGCCTGGGACCAGGGTACTAGAGGTAACGTATTTCACAAGTACTAGAAGCGCTGATGGATGTTTCTCTGTATTTCTGTGTTACTGAACCAAATATAACGTGGGTTCTGCAAATGAAAATGAATGGAATTAATTTCCCTTTTCTGTCTCATGCCTCATACGTGGAATTCACAAGCTAATTGTTGTGGTCTGGTTTATTCAGAGGTTTTTGTTGGCGTTTGAAAAGAATACACCAACATTCCTGTCATAGGAAGTAGAAAATGCCCGAGGGCTGGGCCCTGCGCTGCGCTGCGCTGCGGGGAGGAGAGGCTGGTGCGCAGTGTCCCAGGGAACAGCACGCAGACTGGGCGCCGCTGGGTTTGTAGGAGCCTCTTCAGAGTGTAGATGGCTTCACCTCCAGTCCCGCTCAGAAAATCAAGTTTGAGTTATTTCTTTTAAACACCCTTATTTTAGGGTAGAAAAGAAATTCTCACAGAAACTTAAACATTTCACAAATAAAATTCCATTCTAACATTTCTGCATGACATTTCATGCAAGTTGTATTATGTTTTTTTCTTTTTGAAAAAAATACATTTTTATTGATTTCAGAGAGGAAGGAAGAGGGAGAGAGAGATAGAGAGACATCAATGATGAGAGAATCATTGATCTGTTGCCTCCGGCATGCCCCTCCTGGGGATCGAGCCCGCAACCCGGGTATGTGCCCTTGACCAGATTTGAACCCAGGATCCTTCAGTCCGCAGGCCAGTGCTCTATCCACTGAGCCAAGCCAGCCGGGGATGTTCTTTCTTTTTAAGAACAGGTTTCAAATGGGAAGTAGGAGAGCTCAGCACAGTTTGTGTAGCGTCCCTTTCAGTACAAGCGTGTCATGTCTTTTCCAGTGGCTGAGCCCACTGCTCGCTCCAGAAGCCTTCGTGTTCCCCAGTGGTGCAGAGCGCAGCCTGGGAGAGGCTGGCTGTGGAGTGTGGTGGGACCAGCACTCTGTTCATCTGGGCACTGGGAGGTAGACCCTTTGGTCAGGTTCCTGTCAGAGCTCAGAAGAGAGCAACGGGAGATGGATGGAGACGGTGACTTGAGTTGTTAATCATCCTCATCCCCTGTGCAGCGTGGGGACCACAGTTGTTCCAAGGAAAATGTGAGGGAAGGACCCTCCCCGCCCATCCCCCATGTGGCTGTGGCGTGGCCTGTGGAGAAGGCAGGTCTCCTCCATTGTCTCTGCCTGTTCTCCCGGCGCTCACCACCACCTCCCAGGCCCTGGAATGACGTGTGTACCGTTGTCACCGGCAGCAGCGCTGTAGGCTGGCCCAGTCCCGAGAGCCAGCAGTCCGCAGCCCTAGGAGAACACCGCGCCAGTGGCTCTCTGGGGACCAGCCCGCCGCTCCCAGCAGGCACCTCACAGCATCTGGCTCATGAACAGAGCAGGGCGCAGAGCTGGGGCCGCCTTCTCATCAGTAAACACAGTCCTTCTCCCTGGGGCTTGGCAGGCTGTTGGCCGCCTAAACCAGAAAGTGACCGTCGGGTATGTTTTGCATATAATACCCGTTCCTCTCATTCCTTCAGCTCCTCTCACAGCGCCCTTGTGGGGCAGGAGCGTGTGTGTTGGGAGGCAGACTGGGACAGAGGGCACAGGCCCTCTCACACACCATTTGGAAGAAAAGAATACAGAGCAAGGAGAAATTGAGTTCTGAGTTACACCTTTAATTTAAGAGCTGGTAAGTCATCCTCAGACAATATTTTGAATCCTGTTGTCACAGGAACAAATTGCTAAGCAGGTATTTATATTTCAGATGTGTTGACATGTGCTCCTGATGATAAATGACCTTGAATTTATGAGCATTCGCTTCTGCTCACAGCGTTCTTCGGCACACTGCTGAATTCTGTTCCTGTGAGTCTGTTTTTTGTTTCCTAGGATGGAGCTACGACGTTGAAGAGAAGAAGGTTCCGAAACCCAAGTCCAAGTCTTACGGTGCCAACTTTTCTTGGAACAAAAGAACAAGAGTGTCCACAAAATAGATGGGCCTGCCCATCTCCGCTTGACTGTGAATGAAGTCAGCCGGGCAGTATTTACAGTCCATGCTGCCACTTCTCTTACTCTCCGAATAAAGTTTCCCTTTAAACTGCAGGTGCATTTTGTGGAGTTTATTTTTAAGCTCAAATGGAACATGTTATAATTTTTTAATATAGAGACATTGAGATGATTATACCTCTAGGAAATTTCAGTACTTAAAGTCTATTAAAAAGGAGTGCTTGAAATTAGCTGCAACATTGAGGTTTTGCACATGCTTTTTATAGCCATTATCAAGTCAATGGTATTTATGAACTACCAGCCATCATTGTTAAAATGCTGTCTTAGAAAACCTTTTGTTTTATCATGGGTAGAGAAATTCATGATTACATTACAATCTCATAAACCCAAATTTTACTATTGGAGTTCTCTTCTTTAATTAGAATTTTATGTTCTCTAAGCTTCTTTGAACCTGAATCAATCTACAAGAGACACATAAGAAAGAGAAAGGAATCCAAACACGAAACTCTAAGTCATCAATGTGCGAGAGAATAAGAACAGAGAAAAACTATAAAAAACAATCAGAAAACAGTTAATAAAATGGAAATAACTACATACCTATCGATAATTACTGTAAATGTAAATGGACTAAATGTTCCAATGGAAAGACAGGGTGGCTAAATGAATAAATAAAAGACCCATACATATGCTGCCTACAAGAAAGTCGCATCAGATTGAAAGGCACACACAGACTGAAGGTGCGGGGAAGGTATGGAAAAAGATTCATGCACATGTAAACCAAAATAAAGCTGTGGTAGCAACACTCATATCAGACAAAATAGACTTTAAGGCAATGGCTATGACAAGAGGCAAAGAATGGCATTTCATAATAATGAAGGGGTCAATCCAACAAGAAGATAGAACTCTTGTAAACATCTATGCACCCGACATCGGAGCACCTAAACATATAAGCAAATATTGATGGACATGAAGAGATCAACAGTAATATAGTCATAGTGGGGGACTTGAACTCCGTATTGACATCAATGGACAAGTCACCCAGACAGAATTAACAAGGAAACAGTGGCCTAAAGTGATGTATTAAACCAAATAGACTTATTTTTGTGAAGTGCACCTGGAACTCAAGGATAAGAGACTACTGACATCACAAACGGGATTATCAGGAAATACTATGAAAAATTAAATGCAAACAAGTTGGACAACCTGGAAGAAATGGATCAATTCCTAGAAACATACAATCTTCCAAGTCTGACTCAGGAAGAAACAAAGTGTGAACAGACCAATAATTACTAATGAAATTGAAACAGGATTCAGAAACTTCCAACAAATAAAAGCCCTGAACCAGATAGATGGCTTCCCAGGTGAATTTTACCAACATTCAAAGAGTAATTAAAAATGTCAAAAATTTTAAGAGAAGGGAAGGCTCCAGAACTCATTGTATGAGGCCAGCATTACCCTCATATCAAAACCAGACAAAGACACTACAAAAAAGAAAATTATGGGACAATATCCCTGATGAACATAGATACACAAATCTTCAGCAACGTATTAGCAAACCAGGTCCAGCAATACATTAAAAAGATCATACACCATGATCAAGTGGGATTTTTTTCCTGGCATGGAGCGTTGGTACAATATCTGCAAGTCAATTAATGTGATACACATAAATAATGAAGCACATTTGCATAGTTATCACAATTGGCAATTTTCTTAAACATAAGAAAAACCCTTTTTGTACCATTTGTAAGTAAAAATGAATCATTTTTTTTTTAATGGAGAGAAAAATCACTGGTGTCTGAACATCAGTGAGAGCAGTAGCAACAAACATGCCAGTAGGTACTGTCGTCTTCATGCACAGTAAAAAAACAAGCCAATCGATTTGCTCAGAGATGCCTTCGATGACTTTATGGAAACACTAGCTCCGAGTACGGCTTTTGATATGGTGTGTGATGAAATCGGAAACACATTTGCTGCAAAGTGACATGGGAGGGCTGCCTCCAGGAAGTGCCAGCTGTGAGTTGTTTGCTAATCCCCCCCCCCCCCCCCCCCCCCCCCCCCCCAGAAACAATTTTCACTGGAAAGAAAAACTGACAAATTATGGTTACTTAGACTGGTATATTTGGCAAACATTTTCTCAAAAGTGAATGAAGTGAGTTTATCACTTAAAGGAGGGATACAACTAAAATATTTTATCCAAAGACACACTCAGCTTTCAAGTGAAAATGTGAATTTTGGAAAACTTGTCCTAATGCTGTAGGCGTGTTAGTTTCCCAATACTTTTTTAGTTTATTAGTTTCCCAAACATCTTTTAGATGTTTTTAATTTGATTGGTACTGCTCTTGATAAATGTGATTTGGGGGGATATTATATGATGTAGTGTGTTAAAATTTGGAAAATCGGCATAATTCTGTGAACCAATATAGAAATGGCCAACATACGGTGTTACAAAATCATGCATGCATAAAAGATTCAAAGTACAAGATAAATCAATGGATTTTAATGCAAAAGGAAAGTTCATTGATAAGGTTTCTAACCTCACATTGCAACTAAACTTTAAGAAAATGACATATGACCAATCACAATTATTTGAAAATGCTATTAGAAATATCTTTTCCTTTCCCAACTACTTATCTGTACAAGGCTAGATTTTCTTTATGTACTTCAATCAAAATGACATATTATTAAAGGGAATCCTTGTGCAGTGTTGGTGGGAATGTAAATTGGTGTACCACTATGGAAAAGTGTGGAGGTTCTTTGAAAAGTTAAAAATAGAGTTACCACATGATCAAGCAATTCCACTCCTGAGTATTTATCCGAAGAAAATGAAAACACTAATTGGAAAAGATACATGCAGCCCTATATTCATTGCATCATTATTTACAACAGTCAAGATCTGGAAACAAGTGTCCATCAATAGATGAATTAAAGAAAGTGTGGCATATATGTATTCATATATATATATGCCTTAATATTATTCATCCATACAAAAGGAAATCTTGCCATTTGTGACAACATAGGTGGATCTATAAAGTAGTTTACTGTGTTAGGAATCTAGCTTTACTCAATTTCCATTTCTGATATTCTAATAATCTTGATCCTAAGCACCTAGCAATGGAAAAAGAGAGATGTGGCCTTTGTGCTTAAAGATAACCTTTTCATTTGAAGAATCCTTTATTGGCCTCCTCTATTCCTTACCACTCTTCTCTTCATTTTCTTGTTACTGTATTCATTGCCATACCTTTAATTATTACCCGACCACCAACGTCCTTGGCCCGTAGGCTGGGTTCCAGACCCACATTTCCAATGGTCTGCTGTGAATTTTTCAGCTGGGTAGCTCCCTGGCATCTTGCATTCAGTATAACTAGAAATGAATTCATCTTCCCATGCACAGATTTATAAACAGAAAACCAAATCACACCAGAAAATGAATGCTTCATCAAATAAGGTATGTAAAGAATTTTGTTGTGTTTTGTTTTACACAATAATGGAAAACTAGAGAAGTATCTTATTATTTTTTTGGTTTTTACAAATGTCAATTTTGAGTAATATTTCTTTCCAAAATTTCTTCACTTTGCCTTGTTCCACATGGACCATCCTAGTCTTGGTGAAAATGACTGCAGGAATGGAAAATCTGAATTCTAACAACACAATCTTCTCAACCAAGTATCAAAAACTTTACATTTATCTTTTTATCCATCATAAGTCATACCAAATGCTCATTAATCCTGCACACCAGAAAGAATTGCTGTGACATAACACTGAGGTTGTCTTATTGGTAAAGCATCAATTTTCTTGACATATAATTTCCATACGATAAAAAGTACCAATTAAAAATTTTTTTAAATTTCAATTACCATTGACATATAAGTGAAATCCTATGGTATTTGTCTTTTCTGACTTATTTCACATAGTATAATGCCCTTTGGTCCATCCATGTTAACATGTCACAATTGGCAAGATTTCATCCTTTTTAATACTTAATATTCCATTATACAGATGTAGCACTTCTTTATCCATTTGTCTATTGAACACTTGGCTTGCATCTGAATGTTGGCTATCCTATATAATAAAGATGTAATATGCAAATGGTCGTTACACAGTGAAAAGGCAAACAACATTTTACTTTTGTTATGAAAGGGTTTTTGTCTTATAGATTTCCTGAAAGGGTCTCGGGTAACGCCAGGGGTCCATGGGCCACTTGTTTCAAGAACCGCTAGTTACAATGATGCTTGCTCTGCATCTGTCCACATGGGAAGCAGAGTAAAACAGCATGAGTATGGCCCTACCCGGTTTGGCTCAGTGGATAGAGTGTCAGCCTGTGGACTGAAGGGTCCTGGGTTCGATTCTTCTCAAGGGCATGTACCTTGGTTGCAGGTTCCCTAGCCCTGGTCCAGGTGCGTGCAGGAAGCAACCAATCGATGTCTCTCACATCGATGTTTCTCTTCGTCTCTCCCTCTCCCTTCCATTCTCTCTAAAAACCAATGGAAAAATATCCTTGGGTGAGGATTAACACAAAAAAAATTAAAAAATGGAACAAGTATGAAATGTAGGGGACAGATAAATTCTAAGTAAAGGAATTAAAGCACGAATCTGAAGAAGATTGTAGAGTTTTTTCCATGTGATTTGTTTTAATTAGGAAAATGCTCAATTATGAAAGTAGACTGGGATTGTGAGTCCCTGTGTGCTCTGTTTAGATTAAACGGGTATTATTTTGACATCCTGGCTAGCGTGTTGCTCAAGCAGTTAAAGCTGGTTTCAGACCATATGCCATGTGACCACTGCACTCTAAACCCAGTGCATGTTCAGATTCCCCAATGCCACCCTCCGTGTTGTTCTGCAGTTAATGTGGGTGCATTTTAATTTAAACAGAAAGAGGCTTACCCACGGACTTGGCTATTATGAATTAGTAAAGAGACCAGGTCAGCCCTCAAACCCGCTGTCTCACATTCTGGATTTGTGTAATTGCTTCCAAATGTTGTTGTTTATCTCCTTACTCAGGGGGCCCCCACGTGTCTATAAACAGAGTTTGATCTTAAGTTTTGGTGAGACTCAGGTTCAATGTTTTTGGCAAGGCTACATCGTGGCGGTACCGCCGT